CCGCGTTTTTCCTAACGTTTTACTGTAAAATACTGGCAAACTGGAATCTTTTATGCAAAAAAATTAAGAGATTGATATTCCAAGAAAACTCGTCTACTTTCTTTGGACTCAGTTCTGTTGCTGGGAAAAACTTGTTTGAACTAAGTAGTAAAGCGTTACTCAGAAAAAATGTTAATAACTTATTTTTAGATGTGAAAATTCCAGTCTCGGGTCTCGCAAAGCTTTAACAAATGAATTTTGTGTTTTTTTTTGTAACAAATAAACAAATTAATTATCCGATGAGTTATAACTTGTCAACTCAGAGAGCGGCTAGAACTCAATAGCGCAACTCAACACAGGGTTACCCAGGCCTACTTTAAACTCGTTCAAAACAGCGTTGAAATAGCAATTTTCCTTTCACTTCTTCTTTCCAGGCACCCTCAGAGGACGCAGCTATGGATCTGGATGGATTAAGCAACGCAACTAATGCAGGTAAGAAGCACACTTTTCCTCTGAGCTCCAGCGTAAAAAAGCACTTGCGGCTGGTACCAAAATAAAGACCAAGACTGTCTTCAGAACAGCAAGACCAAGAGCAAGACTCATTGACTAATCACTAAAAAAATCGCTCAAATTTCCAGCCGACTCTTACAGCGAGTGGTCGCAATGGAGCCGCTGCATCGACTGCCTGCAGCGACGCATGAAGACGTGCATCCACATCAGCTGCCACAATTCCCGCATGTACGAAGAACGCGAGTGCCAAAAGAAGCGCTGCAAGCGAAAACGGAAGAAACTGATCTCATTCCACGTGCTCCACCTGAACACGGTAAGCGCAAGCGAACGTAGTGAATCGAGGGAAGAAACCGGCCTTCTTCCAGAGCAGCAGCTACTTGAAGAAGCAGGCGCCCTCCGAGATCTGGAGCCGCTGGACCAAGTGGTCGGAGTGTTCGCCAGACTGCCGCACCTACAGGGTACGCAGATGCAAAAAGCCGGGCAGATGCAAGAAACAGGTGCAAACCCAGGCAGCCTATTGCTACCATGAAAGGACCCGCTGCGAAGAATGGGTGTTGGGCCAGGTGGAGGCGAAGCAACGGCGCAACTCCTTAGGTAAGCGCCTGCTGGGCCCGAGGGTCGGTGTGGTGCTGACAGTCCCTTTGAAGACAGCCGAAAGTACCAGTACACCTACCACAACAACCAGTACATCACCAGGGAGTCGAAGACAAGGGCCGACAAGTGCGGCGTGACCTTCAGCAAACCGCAGATGCTCAGAATCATCGGGGGGACGGAGGCGGAGAAGTTCAAATGGCCCTGGCATGTGGCCATCCTCAACCAGTTCAATGTAAGTCTCGCTTCCATCCCATGAGCTGCTCCCTAGTCGGGCCGCTTTTGCAGGAAGTCTTCTGCGGGGGCACTCTGATCGCGTCCAGGTGGGTGCTGACCGCCAGCCACTGCATCAGAAAGCAGCTGAGAGTGCGGCTGAACGCCCATGATCTGAGATCGCGCCATGGCGACGACATCGAAATGGGCGTTTACAAGATGTTCGCCCATCCCAGGTACCGCTCAGAGGCTCGGCTCAGAAGCCGCCGGCTCAAACACGTCGGTTTCAGGTTCGAAATGAAAACAGTGGACAACGACATCGCCCTGCTGATGCTGCCCCGGCAGGTGCGCGTGCCAGTCGCCTGCCTGCCCAACAAGAAGCCGAAAGCGGGCCAGATCTGCTCGGTGATGGGATGGGGCAAAGTCCAAACCACCGATCTGTATGGGGTTCCGGTTCTACATGAAGCTAAGGTGCATTTTCCGGGCCTTAAGGCTCTTTTCTACTTTATAGTTGTTTTGAAGCGGCGTGGACAGTAAAAGTCTTCGCGCCGGTAACGATTCGGAACTGGTTCGGAACCGGATCGCAACTG